TACATGCAAAAGCATATGCTAGCCCGAGAACTAATAAAATACGATTGAATTTATTATAAAATAACATGAAATTTGATGATGATAAATTATCTCATAGGGCAAATACTTCAGAAGTTCATTATAAAATGGCTTAAAATCTATTAGGTAAGTATTGTACATATATTAGAATCAATTCTGGCAAAACAAGATTTTTGAATTTGAAAATAAAAAACGCGCTCAAGAAATGATTAAAAATATAAAAAAACAGCACAAAATAAAACAACATCTAGTGTATGGCTCGATTTTAACCGTTATTTAAAAACGGCTAACACAATATTTTATCCAGAACAATATTATGTAAGATTAAAGATTTTGGTCATATATGGGACAAAGATTTGGCATCCAGTAGCGAAATCTCGAGGCTTAGGCAATATATTTTCTGGCTAAATTGTTGAATTAGAACAACACTAAACCCAAGAAACTATCGCCCTACGCTTTGAAATAGTGTGAATTTTATCTAAGAATTTTATTTATTTATATTTACGCAGCAGGCAGAACTTAAAAGCGAAAAGAAATAGAATCAATCTGTGGTGGGGATTCGGAATATCCTTTGATTTTAAATTCTATAATCGAGCGCAATTTTTTGCTATAAACAATTTGCGTATTTTTTTTTTTAAATTTATAAAATAAATTTCATATGAAAATCAATTGGTTTTTAAAAAGTTAACGGTTGAAAATTGACAGTGTGGATACTATATACCTGCTGAAATACATTTCCTGTCAAATTAGTCTATTTTACAAAAATTTTAAAAATCGCTATTTTTTTCATTTAAATAATATTAATTAATTTTAATTTTGTGGTACTTCCTTTTTTTTAAAAAAAAAATTTAAACAACGGCCCATGACCATTTTTGAAAAGTGTCTTTAGGTCCGATTCTTAAATATTTTTTTACAAGCTCTTTCGGTCCTATTCATAGACTTTTTTTTATGAAAAAAAAGACTTAAATTTGTCAAATTCTAAACTTTTACAAAAATTGTGTTATTAAATTTTTTTTTAAATTTCCAAATACAAACTCTCCCTACCTTAAAAAAGATATGAGATATTTTTCCGGGGAATTATTTTCCGCTACCATTTGGAATACAATAGCAGGATGTCAAATTTTATTTTAATTAAATTTAGTAATAATATTGTTGTCTGCTACTAATCTTAACTTGAATGGTATAAGACTCAATTCAAGAAAAAAAAGAACCTTAATGATGGAAATTTATAGAAGAAAATGTTTTAATTTATATTATGACGTGATTCACTTCCATTTTAAAGTATGCTAAAGAAAAAGTAATACATATCCTCTGGGTGATGCCATTAATATAACAAAGAAAGAAGTATATCAAACTGATTAATTTTCGACTCGAGACATGATGAAGAATCTTGTTTTAAATAATTTAAGAAATTAAAGAAAATATTTAATTTCTTTTCTTTATTTTACCTAGTAGCTATATCTTTTTTTCCAAAATATATATTTTTTTAATTCTTCAATATCCTTGCAAGAGTATAGTTCAAACTTAAATAAATAATAAAAGATATACGTCATGTATAGTTCAAACTTAAATAAATAATAAAAGATATACGTCATCTGTACAGTGAACAGGTAAGGCTAAAATTTGTAAACATTTTATTTTATGAGTTTAGAGATATCAATTTGTTTGCAATATATTTGCTAAATATATATTATTTTTATATAATTTTAAATTGAAAGTTTATATTTTTAAATTTATTTCTAACTATATTTTAATTTAAATTGTACAATAAAGGCTATTTTAAAGATTTTTGAGTGATTAAAAGAATGGAAGGGGTGGGGGAACACATTTTGTTAATATTTCTGCTTCTTTCAGAGTATTACTTTACTTCGTGAGCCTGTGGGGCTGGGAGGGTATAGGAGCCCTTCTTATTTCATATATATACATTATTTAATTTTTTTGAATTAATTTCAGTTCCTAATTATCGCCAATGTTTACCATTATAATTTTTGTTTGATCGAGATTTTTAAGGCCCATCTTATATCTTTATAATTAAAGCCGGAATCTAATATATAAATAGAACCGGATTTTCAAAGAAGCAAATTTATCTCACAACATTAAGTGTTGTTAAACGGCTCATTTTGAGCCTACTTTTTAAAACGGCTAACTCAATATTTTAGCCAGAAAAACATTGTCCAAACCTAGAGATTTCGATATATGTCTTAGACCTTTGTTCTTTCTATGAGAAAAATTGTCAGGATTGCGTAATATTATGCTGGATGAAATATTGAGTTAGCCGTTTTTAAAAATCGGCTCACATTTTAAATTCACTCTGAGAAGTATGTTTAATAAATTTTGACTAACTTAGTAAGTTATGGAAATTTTTTATGGGCATTCCATTTTAAATTAAGCCACAATTAAAAACCATAAAAGATTATCCATGATTTAGCTCATCAAGTCGCCAATAATAGCCTGTTTTACTTCAAAAATCTAGCATCATACCTTCCTTTTACTATACTTCCTAAGGAACTCAGGTTTTTGTTCTGCTATTTGGGTTTGTTATAATTTTTTCTCGTTCAGAGCTTTTCTTTTTTATAGCTGCCAAGTATTTACTTCTAATTATTTTTACAAAGTATGCTAAGACTCTTTTGTTTCCTCATCTCCCACTTTCCACTCTGGTTTTTACAAATCCCGATGTAGCTTATGATTGATGCAAAGCACCTGTTCATAAATAATGATAGTTGTAAATTATCCCTGTGTGTCTAAATGATAGCCGTGGCTCAGATTATTTCACATTATGACTAACGTCATAAAATTGGAGCTTAATTTTCCGCCTTGTGAGAATATTTTTTTTAACCTATTAGATGCGTTAGCTAAGAGAAAGAGATATGGTAAAGAGATACATATATCAAGTGGGGATGGGGGGGGGCAGTGGCGTCGCTGGGGGGGGGGCGCAGGGGCTTGAGCTCCCTGAAAAATTTGAATAGCCCCCCTAAAGCAAAATTTTTTTTTTAATGGCTCCTTAATATCCCCTTGAACTAAAAAATAAATTTTTTTGATTCCCCACTGAATGATTTCTTTTATAATTCCATTAAGTAATATATAGATATAATTTTATTATTTAGAAATTAACAAGACTATTTAAATTTTTATTAAATGAATATTATTTTAATTATTAGATTAGATTAATACATATAAATTATATTTTCACTATGTCTGCTAGCAATCAAATTCTGTATTAAAAATATAATATCAATAACTCACTAAATATTAATTTAGCTTTAACAGTTGAAGTTTAATTGACTTTTATTATTTAAATTATTATTTAACCCTAATTAAATAAATATAAACATATATTATTTGAAAATTAACAAATTTAATATTGTAATTAGCCGATTTCAAAATGACTTATCAACTGTATATTTATTTTGAAATTTTATTATCATACCTTAAAAATATTTTCAAGGTTCAAATAAGTATAAGAGATTTTTATAAAAAGTTAGTAAACATATAGTTTATAATCCTCTACTATATACAGTTGTTTATAAAATATTAGATATAATGACACTTTTATAGACGTATTTGAGATTTGACAGTTATATAATATATTACAGTTAATATTATAATAAATTTTACTAATAAATGGTTTTGATAATAAATATAATAACAAATTGCATTTAACTATTTAACGCCATCTATTTAGTTATATATAATTTTGAAAATTAAACATTTTATTATTCATCCTGCAATAGATGTAATAAATTTGATATCTTTTCTTCTATTTTTTTATGTATTGAAAGCTATTTTTTCTTTTTCGAAAAAAAGTTTTGAGTTAAATTTTAAATACAAGTATATTTTTGATATTATTACAAACTACTCTTATTTTAAGATATAATATACCAAGGTGGTGCGACAATATATAAAACCTTAATTGTTTCATCATATCATTCTGGTCCTTATTTTATAGTTAAAAAATGTTTCACTTCTAATATGGCATTGCCGTGTAACCAGGCTTCAATATATTTGCATAATTATTTCTTCCCAAGATTTTTAGTGTTTTTATTTTATGAATTTCTCCAACATAATAAATTCTGATATTAGTTTACATCGTGAGTGTCATGGCTATTGCTGCCAAATTATCCAGCATCTATTATTTGTGTTGCTAAGTAATTTAAGATTATTACTATAACGGCTGAGAGTATATAATTGCATATTTTAGATAAACAATAATGGTCAACTGTGTAGTCGTTTATATACCATTTAAAATGGAAGATAATCTTTTAGAAATTTAATATCTCACAATATTTTCTCGATTACTTATCTAGCTTTATAATGTCATCTATCTAAGAGGAAGCTTTAACCACCTATAGTTTTATGATTTGGATTGTTCGTTTATACTCTCTCCTACAAAAATTGTTGATTTGGTTTAGGCCTATAAATTTTTCCTTATTAGTCTATTCTATAAAACATTGTCTAAAATGGAGAGAATTATACTAGTTTGATAACTTTTGTCAATGTAAGTTGCTAAGAATTATATTATAGCATTATGTGATTTTTTATTATGCTAGTTTATTTTGTATGCATAATATAATAAATGACCAAATATTAAAATCAGAATAATTGTTCAGAGTTAACAAATTTTAAAAAAGTATAATATATATAAAATTAAGGGGTATGGGGGGGCAAAGCCCCCATAATTTTTTTTTAGTTGAGCCCCCTGAGATTGTGAAGGCTAACGACGCCCCTGGGGGAGGAGGTTCCCAACTAATTATAATAATATTAATAATAATTAATTTTTCACAACTTAATTTAATAATAATTATAATAAGAACTAATCATTTACAATTTTGCGTATATAATTTTAGACTATGTATCTTAGGCAATTAAATTAAATATTTAAATTAAACATATTCATTTCACACAAATCTTATGTATTACATCATGAACCTCAAATAATTATTGACACCCGAATATCAGTCATAAAAATGATGATTTCGGTGGAATTGTGAATTATGTTTTCATTTTAGATAATGTTAAATTTATTCCATAAATGTTAAATTTGTTGAAAATTTTATCTAAAATCACAATGACGTAAATATATATTCAATATCCATCCTTTATGTTCTGTCCATATGAAACATATAGCAATGGGGACTCAACAATACATAATCACAAAAATGTATTATATAACAATTTAATCTTGTTTAATAAATTAACAAGCCTATTATATTAAATAAAATATATTTAGAATTTATATTAAATTTTACTTTATTAAAATTTGCTCAATAATCTAAAATATTTGAAAAATTAATATATTGTTCACTTAATAAAAACTGAGTTATATTTTTATAAAAACTCATAATTTTTTATTAATTAAATTTATAACATTAATTTTTATGTTTAAATTAGTCAGACAAGGTCTCTCTAATAGGAAATGCTAACCTATTTTCTCAGCAACATCATGTTTCTAGAAATAGAAGAGGCCAAATCATGGGATTGCGTGGTGGTTTTAGGGGCTGTTGTATTTGGCTAACAGGTAACTTATGTGATTTATATTATAAAATGTTTATTTATTTTTTTAAATATCCAAATTAATTTGTTTATTATTTGAATTTAATCTTTTAATAATATTTGTTCACCTAGACTGGCCTGAATTTATTTAATGTAGCTTTAGATTTTAGCATTGAACATAAACAAATTTGTTCACCCAGACTGGCCTGAATTTATTTAATTTACCTTTAGATTTTTGCATTGAACATAATCAGATTTTTGATCATTTTACAAACAAATAAAAAATAATGGTGTAAATTTATTTTTAAATTTTTCTAAGAAGTTATAAGCTCCCAATTTTTAATGATTTTTGCTTTAGTGATTTAGAATGGGAACCTAAAAATATATCTAATCTAATTTTTGAATGCAACAATTAGCCTAGCTATCCTCCTTTTAAATTTAAATATACCCACTAATGGCATTTAATTTTTTGTAAGGTAATGATGATGGGTTATCAAGGAATGAGAGACACTTTAATAATTGGCAAGAACTTTACTCCTTTATAATAGACATTTTTTGTATACTAAAATGTTTTTTTAGAATTCTTTTATTTAAATAAAACCTCAGCATATATCATAACTGTTGATAAGAGATTCTACAATTGTTTTTGGGCAAGCCAAAATAGATGCCCCACACCAACAACGATTTTTCTGCCTTCCCCCAATATTCCATGCTACTAAATAAGCAAAAGCATCAAAATTAATAAATCTAAATCACATTCACTATCCTCCTACAATTTTTTTTTCAAATGACCAGTGTCATCATAACTACATACCCCCTTACAATTTCAATAACAATCTTGGATTGTAACCCCCTTCCCATTCCTTTGGAGGTTCCTGTTGTTAGGTCAAGAGTAAATAAAATCATTGAATTTTTTACAAACAGTGGGAGTCTTACTTTTTCTCAGGTAAGCCTAAGATTATTTGAACCCTAGCCACTTGAAATGACAGCATGCATTAGCTTTTTATAAATATAAACAACAAAAAAAATTGTTCTATTTAAAATTTATAGCTTAAATATTATATTCTTGCTCTTTGCAAATTTTTTTTTTATGTTTAACAAATTTAACCTTAAATGTGCAATCAAATTCTAAGGAGAGCCATTTATTTCTAAGCAGACTTATGCGAGACAATTAAAAAGTTGATTACCTTTTGCCCCAGTACACAGGAGATGCTGTTGAACTAACTACTCCATTTTGACCATTCCATTAACAAATTATTTTTCGATGAATACTCGTATAAATTAAATTAAATAGTCTCTCTTTACCGTTGACTCCTTTTTTTGAAATTTTTATCTGTAAAAATCGAGGGCTAGAAAACCACGCACACACACTTGTGATGAAATTTGACTGTTGAAAGTATTTTAGATAAGCTGTATTAAATATCATTCAAAATCCTCCCTCAGGGATAATTAAATTATCGTTTTAACTGTTACTTCCTGATTCTAACAGCTGCCCACAACTTTAATTCGTTATTCCAAAGCTTATTGCGGTTAAAATTTATTTCAAGTTCTACTCCGGACTCTGGCGTTAGAATCACCCTCAAGCTTTGAATATGGTTCAACAGGAAAAAACACAAATTCTAAATTTATTTGATTTTGAAAAAATGGTAGATTTGGGCCAAACTAACATTTATTTATTTTTTAAAAAAATGCAAAACTTTCTATTTCCCTAAAGGTTATTCTGGAGCCGGTAAATCTACCCTCGCTTTTGCCCTGGAGGATTATTTGTGTTCAAAAGGATTTCCGGCATACGTTCTAGATGGTGACAATGTTAGACAAGGTATTAATTTATTATATCATGTGTTTACAATTTGATTTACTTTACATTCCCCACCACCATTTTTATTTTTGTAAATCGCGGACTTCACATTTTTCTTATCCCTAGGGGATTGATAATATCAAATATAAATTATAACTCCTAAATGTTTTTTTCCTTCTATCCTTTATTTTTATAATTTATTTGGAATTTTATTTTGAAAAAAAACACTCACATTTAATCATATTTTTTTTATGTTTAATCTATTACAAATACAACAAATGTTTGATGGGAAAGAGGGGTAGGGTAGGTGTTGCATATTTATATTAAAATATTGATTTCCCCCAAAACAAACAAAACAATGAAAAACGTGCTTAATACCAATTTTCTAAATAACACAACCTAATTTGCTAAACACCGACCAAAATTTATTAAAATGTTAAAAGACGCACTTATTATTTAATATATATTAATGGAATAACGTGATCGAGTCTGACTTACTATATATCACTCCCCCCCCCCCTCCCCAAGGACGAAACCACTAAGTTGGTTTCAGAAATAAAAGATGATCCTTGCTGGATTCGAATCCTAAACCATCGGATTGGCATGCGGCACAATTATCGAAAAATCATGAATTTTATGATATATATTATAACCAAATTTGGCCAGTGCTAAGATACTGCCTTAGGCATTTATCTATCATAAACCGGAAAACGTATTAGATAATTTACCATGGAATTTTGAAAAATTGATTGGATCGGAATTAGACTTTTAATTTTTAACTGAACGATAAATATGTGAGCGTGGGCTGTGAAATTACGCGTGACACGATGGGTCACGACGTGACTGGTTAGAATTTGCCTTTTTTAATAAAAAGAAAATTGGAAATGGCTTGATTATTTATTGTATTTTCATGTTTTTTAAGGTTTAAACAAAGACCTTGGATTTACTTACAAAGACAGGGAAGAAAACATCAGGAGGATATCCGAAGTGGCTAAATTGTTCGCCGATGGGGGTATCATTTGTATCACCGCTTTTATTAGCCCATTTACCAAAGTTTGATTTACGAATAAAAAACCTTTAAAAAAATAATTTTTTTTAATCGCTATATGACGATTCTTATTTAAATTCAAGAAATTCGATTAAAACTAGTGTGTTAATGAAAGATAATAAGAGTTGATGATATTTAAATTTGTACCAATTTTTTTTTAACAAAAATGTCGGATTTTGCTATATTTTTAAATTTACCTATTCAATTCTATTGTATAAGTTTTAAATCTTTATTTTCGCGACAGATTTTATATACTAGAAAAACTTAATTTTTTTTAAAATTTAATACTGTACCTTTAAAAAAACCTTCAATTATTATGTCACCTTCCTTACTCAGTGAAATTCGCTATAAGGAATTTTCTAACCAAATTTGTGAATTAATATTATTTATAAAGTTACATTAAAATCCCTATATTTATTATGAGAAACTTGTATATTAAAATAAAATGATTATTTATTTTTTAGGATAGAATGATAGCCCGACAAATGTTCAATGAAAAAAATCTACCCTTTTTCGAATGTTTTGTCGACACGTCACTCGAAATCTGCGAACAAAGAGACGTTAAAGGATTGTACAGACGTGCTCGAGCCGGCGAAATTAAAGGTAAATTCTAAGGTATTTGAGAGAAGCGAGAAAGTAGAAAAGGGAGGAAGGGAGAATGAAAATGTATTTCCAATAAAAAATAGTTTTTGAAAAATAAAATAATTTTTTTAAAACAAATAATCATTATTTAAGTTTAACAACATATCGAAAAAAAAAATATATATGTTATTGGCAATGTGTTGTTTTTTCAACTTTAAATCATTTTTGAGCGCCTTTTTTTTTAAATTTAAAAATTTGGTTTTACCGGAAATGTACTTCAGCGTATTTAGAATACCTATCTTATGAATTGCAGATAATTTTATCGTTAACCTTTTAAGTCATAAAAAACTAATATATATATTAAATTAAGTTCAACATGGCAAAATTATCTGAAATTCTAAGTATTCCAAATATACGACAGCATACATTTTTAGTTAAATCAGATTTTTTGGAAAAACATTTATTAAAAACGCTCTCAAAAAAATTGATTTAAAATTTAAAAAATAACACATTGACGCTAAGATTATATTTACTATTTCATAATTTACTTCATATTTATATTCAATTTTATGGTCTTCTTATTTTAAAAAACTAATTAGGATTTACGGGTATCGATTCTGACTACGAAATTCCTACATCTCCTAACATAACCCTGAAGGCCGGGGAAACGACGGTTTATGATTGTTTGCAATCGCTCATTTTGATGATGGTTAAAGAGGTGAAAATATTTAAGGCCCGTTTTTTGAGAAAATTTTACCAACGGTTTTTTTAGAAAATACATTATACATGAATGAATTTAAGAATCAAAATTTACAAAAATACTATTTTTTTTTGTTTTAGAAAGTGTTACCGTTATCAGCTATCGAAACAGTCAAAGAACTATTCATTCCAACCGAATTAATTCACTCAAAAATGGCGTTTGCTCAAAGTCTCCAATCTATAGACATAACCCAAGTATAATTTTATATTTGTGATTTATTTGTGTTCAGTATTTTGACTATATTATTGCTTTTTTTAAAAAATAAAACTCATTTCATTCAAGATTGTAGTTGCTATAAGAAGGGATTTTTAAAGAGAACAAATGAAAATACCTAGAAGATAATTTATTCGTAGATATTATGGCACGATTATAATATTTTATAATAAATAATCAATAATAAAAAATTCATATAGAATTGTTATAATATATAAATATGCTTTAAGTTTAGCTTTTTATAAAAAATGATATTTATTAAAATCCCGCTCAGAAAAATAAAAATACATAGATATATCCGAGTTAAGAAAAGAATATATTTTCTTTGTAAAATTTTTTATGCAAAGATGTTTTTAAAAATATTTTGGCATTTTTTAGGTAAAATTTGATCAATTCAAGAAAAAATCGTCAAAAATTTTTGCTCAAATTTTTTTTCTAAACTTTAATATTATACCTAATTTACTTGAAATCAAAGATGCCGGCACTAATTCTCCTAATATTTTTAATCAAATCAATTAGGAGCAGACAGTTTATTGCGATTAAGATTTTATTTATTTTTATATTAATAATATTATTTTTTATTTAATAAATTAGTTAGATCTTCAATGGCTGCAAGTTCTATCGGAAGGTTGGGCATTTCCTTTAACCGGTTTTATGAAAGAAAAACAATTTCTTCAATCCTTGTTCTTCGGGTGCTTAATTGATGGTATTTTTAAAAAAATGATTGAATATTTATTTATTTCCTAAAATTTTTTTTCTACTAGCTAATTGGTCAAATAAGATATTCTTATTTTATTTAATATGTATATAAGACGCATCTAATTATGCCTTATTAAATTTGCGTGCTTAACAAAAAAAAATATGATTCATTTAAATGTATCTATCAACATTCTCGTAAAATAGAATAATAAGATATATACTCGTTATTTATCTACCACTAATGGTTTTCTGAATGAAACTAATTTTTGAATATTAGGTGGAATCACAAACCAATCTATACCCATAGTATTACCGGTGCACACACCTGACAAAGAAAGGGTAGAGGCTAGTAACGCGGGCAAAGATCGTAAAAGCTTAGCTTTAAAATATGACGGCAAAATTGTTGCCATTTTAAATGATATTGAATTTTTCCATAATCCTAAAGAGGTTCGTTGCGGTAAACAGTTCGGTATAACATCCAAGGAACATCCTTATATCAAGGTTTGTCATGTATAATACATTAGTGTTATATTATAAGCTAGGCTGATTAAAACTTTTACTTAAATATTGCGTTCTGTTTATCATTTTTTTGTTTGAAATCACTTTAGGGTTGTTTTACCTGCTAATATAATCATTTATATCCTAGTGCCAGGTACCCTTTGGGGATCAGAATGTATTATATTTTCCTTTTTTTAGCGACAGGGATGCCAAAAATATTTATTATGATGTGATAAATATTAAATTTCGAATATTTCTTTATTTTAGATGATATACGAGAGCGGGGATTGGCTCGTGGGTGGAGAGTTGGAAGTTTTTGAAAAGGTAAAATGGAATGATGGTTTAGATCATTACAGACAAACTCCTAATCAGCTGCGACAGAAATTCAAGCAAATGAAAGTTTATTCAATTTTTTTTTTAAATATTGAAACTTAACAATCTTTTCAATGTCTAAATTTAATATTTAATTATTTAAAAAATATATATATATATCTAAATTGCAGGGATCAAACCGAAACGAATATCGGTTCAGGTTCGGATAAAAATAACGGTTCGTAAAAAATTAAAATATCGGTTCGAACTTCTAAAAACCGGGTTGAACACTTTTATATTCAAACCTACATTCGAATTGTTTAGGGAAAATATTTTTTTATTTTATCATTAATTTAAAAAACACATGTATAATACCTTCATTTTTATTTAATTGCGCATAAAATAATATTTAATTTATAAATATAAAAAAGCATTATAATTTATAAGCTTAAAATATTTAAAAAATATTGTAAAATGACAATATACTAAAGTTTATAAAAATTATGACCGACACTTATCAATCAAATGTGATTGATGATAATTAAAATAATTCGAATATAATTGAAATCTAATAACAACTTACATATTATTTTATAAGCATAAAATCATGAGACTCGAACCGGTTCGGAGGCATAGCGGTTTTGGCTGGAATTTTTTAGCGGTTTAGGTTCCGGTTCGATAGAAAATACCGGTTTAACGGTTCAGGTTCGGTTTGGATCCCTGCTAAATTGTATCGTTTTGTTATAACTATTCAACTATATTTATATTTTTTTACTACAGGCCGATGCAGTTTTCGCTTTTCAATTGCGAAATCCTATTCATAATGGGCACGCTCTACTAATGAGAGATACGGACCGACAATTGAGAGAAAGGGGCTATAAAAAGCCTATATTATTGTTACACCCATTGGGTAAGTTTTAATTTAATTCATACTTCTTAATATCAATTAGAAAAGATGAATAAAAAATATTAATAGATGTTGTTAATAAAGGATTAAAATATTTTACCCAAATTTTTAATTACATGATTTGATCATTTACTAGTGTTAGGGGGCTCGATTTGAGCTATAAACGTCAAACTTAATATAGCCAGAGAAAGATTGCCTATGCCTCGAGATTTTGTTAATCCAAACCTTAGTCCCATCTATGAGCAAAATATTTAGGCTAAAAAAATGAAAGAATATAACTACTAAAAATACATTACAAAAGATTTCGATATTTTATTAATACTAAAAATACATTACAATAAAAAAATTAAGTTAACTGTTTTTGAAAAATCGGCTCAAATCGAGCCGTTTTAACAACACGAATCATTACCTACGGTTAACAGTACAATAAAACCTATTTTATTTTTTCTCATAAAATAGGGGGTTGGACGAAGGATGACGACGTACCATTGCCCGTCAGAATTAAACAGCACATTGCCGTTCTTGAATCTAAAATGCTGGATCCGGATTCTACGGTCCTAGCCATATTTCCATCTCCTATGATGTATGCCGGACCTACCGAGGTTTTTGTCATATGAGAATAGAAACCATTTTTCAGGATAATAAGAGATTGGTACATTACGATAGAGAAAAAAAATTAATTAAATATCAGGGTTGGGAAATTTCTCTCAAAAATGTTATTGAGTAACAGACACTATTCAAAAACAAATATCTTAATTACAAAATACAAGATACTTGTTTTAAAGGATGCACGATATCAAAATTTGTCCACTTTATTACATATCACTGATACTGCCCAACCTTCTTTAAGTTAAAATAAGATTAGAAACGTTTTATTAATTCGATCTATATATCTAATCAAGTCATGATTCAAATAAATTTGTTTTAAAATTGTTTAAACTCGCAAATTCCATTAATAATTTCAGGGTTATATTAATAATAAAAATATCGCCCAATGTGAATTTGGACTGATACTATCTGGTAGCGATTTTTCCAGCCACGTTTTTGTTTCCTTGTATCCATATACATAAAAAAATTCCACTATTTTTATATTATTATATTTTTACCAATATGAAAGGTTCAATGGCACGCTAAAGCTAGGATGTCAGCTGGTGCTAATTTTTATATTGTTGGTCGAGACCCCGCTGGAATGCCTCACCCAGAAACCAAAAAGGATATATACGACGCTACTCATGGCAAAAAGGTAAGATACATTTTTTTACGTTACATTTCAAATCATATCAAAGATACAAGTCCGCCCTTCAGATGTCGGTTTTGATAGACTTGAACATGCTTTTTTTTTATAATATATCGGACCTACCCTGAACGATAAATCGAACCGGCCGTTCTCCAGGACTGCAGGACACATATTTTTTGCATTTTTAAAAAAAAAAAGAATATGCTTTACAATAAAAATTATTCTTTACAATAAAAATTATTCTTTTTTTAACACGTTGGACTAAAATTAATTATTCAGGTACTCCAAATGGCCATGGGCTTAACCCAGCTCGAAATAATCCCTTTCAAAGTAGCGGCATACGATACAACCTCAAACTCTATGGCCTTTTACGACACCGAACGCGCGACCGATTTTGAGTTCATATCGGGCACCAAAATGAGACACCTGGCGAGAACCGGGGCTCAACCACCACAGGGATTCATGGTCCCGAAAGCTTGGCAAATTTTGGCCGATTATTATAATAGCCCGAATCAATAAAGAACTAAGAGATAAATTCTTTTGGAAAAATTGCTGAAACTATATATATAATAATTTAAAAAATAGTAATTATAGCTAATTAAAATATTACGCGCTTAATTTTTTTTTTTTAAATAAAATAGATAAGATAACTAATTTTTTATATATTGTAAATTATATAAGAGAAGCTGATTCTGTATACAATTTTTAAAGATATATATATATTTTTTTTAAAAAACGGTTTTGGGTGTTTTTTTTATAAATTGATAACTTTCCTATAGTATAAATGTGTATTTTATATAATATATTCTTTTTTTGGAGAGGTTTTTCTTCTCTTTGTTATTTATATAAAATATAATGTTTTATTAATACAATGATTTTTACTAATGTGAACACCCTAATGATTATGATTAATCAAAATTTATTCTAATCAAATACAAATCGAATAAATTAATAATAATAATATATTATTTTATTTTAATATTGGAATAAAGTATATAAAAATGAAATTCGAGTTATTTATTTGCATTTACCATCCTGGTTAAATTTCATTATTAATTACTAATTTTTAAACCAAACAACAGCAAAAAAAATGGTTTATTTTTTAGTAAGAAATCTTTTTTGCGTCAATTTTAGGTTTAAAAAAATTCTTTTCCTATTAATTTTAGTGTTTATTTTTAGAGGTGTGCCTATATTACCGATTTTTCTAAAAAAAAATTGATCCGATCCTATATTATTTATTTTTGATTATTTTGTATTGTATAATTCTATTATATTTTTGATACATTAATTGAGACGTTGTATGACTCGAGTTTAATAGGTCAAGTCATGAATCATCTCAGGTCACATGTAAAGTCAAATATCAAATTATCTAGTATTATAAACTGTACGATCCTGAGGAAAATATAAATAAAATTCTGCAGAAAGTTTGGACATTTATTAGTGAAATCTCGATAAAATATTGAGTTATCCGTTTTTATAAATAGGCTTAAATCAAGCCGTTTAACAACACTAATGAGGTAATTAATAAAAAATTTGCAATAAAATGTTGGTAGATTACATTTTCCAAAAGGAAGTATTAAATAAAAAACAAAAAAAAGGGTGAAAAAAATTTCTTGTCTTATTATGGAAAACGGATGTTTTAATCCTTAATCTTAATATATCATCGCTTACCCTGCATTCACTGTTAGCGCCGAGGTGTATTATACAAAAATTAATGTAAAATTATGATATTTTCTATAATTGACCGTGAAATTCGAGCTAACTGATAGCAGGGTTAAATGGTAAATTCGCTTTAAACCGTGGGATGTAATATATTATTTTTAAAAACCTGTTCAGTATACACATTAAAGCCATATAATAGATTAAAATTATCGAAAAATATGTTTTTCTACAAAGATATTAAATTTAAAGAGAAAAATCAACCCATTTACGCTCTAATTATAATGAACCCAAATGGGGAGGTTTTAAGCTTGATATTCAATATTTAAAAAAAAAATTATTGTTACGAATCGTAACAATATAGTAAAATTTGAAAAAAATAAATATTTTACTCACCATCGAATTGGCAGAATGACTCGCCAAAAGAAGAATAATGGATAAATATTTATTCATTTTTATTTAAATTTATAAAAAATATATAAATTTTATTTAAAATTCAAAGCGAAGTTAAATTCAAATTAAAAAATATTGTAGTTTTGTTTTATTTTCATTATACGTCATGTGAACTACATTGTTATATTTATTATTTTATTGTTTTGCGAAATTTTGAATTTCCAAGAAATATTTTAACCTAAGAGGTAAAAAAAAAGATATTTTTAATATTACATTACCCTGAGAAATTTTTTAAACTAAAATATTTTTTAATATTATTTTCTTACTTTATTTGAGAAAAAAAAATTATATTTATATAATTAAATTGTTAAATATTAATATAAAATGTATTAATGAAAAGTATTTTTATTATTATTTAAGATATAAAGAAACCTACAAAAGAAGTTTAGATACATTAACTCACACGTTGCTCGAGTTTGACAGGTCGAGGCAAGAACCATCGCTGATCACATGTAAAGCATAATCAGGATTAGTATTACGCACTGTACCATCTTGAAGAAAATATAAATAAAATGTGGACACCCTGTTCTCGGTCGATTTAAATGTTTTTAATAGTAGAATATGATTACAAGACCTTTGGCTAGTATTTTAAGTAAATCCCGCCATCAGTTTTGCACAGAAAAAAATTTAATAAAAAAAAAATTAATATTCAGTAAGAATTTTTGATAGCTGAAAATATTTACAAGATCCTTGGATAGATTTTAGAGGGGTCTCCGCAATACTTCACATATAGTATATGTATATATATATAGGATATGAATATACCCTAGGTTTTAATAGTTTATAAGTTTCAATACCTTTGGATGGATTTTAAATTAAGCTATGGTATTTTTATCTACAAGTAAAATATTAAAAAACATCCTCTATTCGTTTTGATAAGAGTTTACATTTAATAATTAAAAAGAGGTATAAGTAGTATTATTCAAAATTGCGTATTGTTCTTAGTCATAAATCCAGCGGTGCATAGACATTTGACGTCCCAGGGCAAAAACCGATTGTGTGGCCCTTCAAACCCCAAAATTTAGCTAAGATAATTTAAAAAACTTTCGTATACTGACATAAACAAAAAGCATGTAATATAGTAAATTATATAAAGGTTTAATCATAAATATGAATAACCCATATTAAAAAAATATATACTCCATGTAATCGTGTAATGTAATCACGGATTTATATAATCTTTAATGAAATATAAGGTGAGAATATACTGGAATATGTATATGTTTTATTTGATCGACAATATTTAATTCAAGTATTATAATAATTGAGCGACATATTTTTTTTTGCTCCCTCTGTTTCTTTTTACCATCCTTTATATATGATATTTATTTAATATGTTAATATAAAATAATAAAACAATCATTTATCAATGTTAATAATTTTAAGTTAATAGCTCGAAGTGTTATCAATATAATAAAAGAAACTATATAGTTAATGGATAATGAAAAATAAATAATAAAAAATTAGACTGTAAAGTAAAATATATATTAACATTCCACCCTCCAAAGAAATCCCGCCTAGGTTTTCCTTGGACATGTAGAGTGGACTAACAACCTGTTAAATCATTGTTCATACTGGTCCCTTGACAAAATTTTTGTTTTTGCAACGACTATTTCTCTGGTTTGTACTCTGCTCACTGGTTTTATTGCCACGCAATATGCCATTGATATTCATTAGGGTTTAAGGTTTTAAAGCCAGCGCTCAACCTCAAGGTGCCGTCTCTCTTAAAAACAAGTGTCAGTGGATTTCCCCATCTTACTTGAGATACAGGCTTTATGATATTATTCTTTAGCCAGACGTTCAACTCTCGAGACATTGCGTCGATCCTGGCTTATGGCATTTTCCTAGGAGATATGATTCTAGGCACACCATCATGCTTTAAATTAATCTTCGCTTGCCTGATCATTTTGGGTTTGTTGACTCAAAGTCTATTTTCGTTGTCAAAATCACATTCTCGAGATCATATTCTACGTTACCCACAATGAATCTTTTTAATATATTATTAAAGGCGTGAAGCCATATACGCCCTAGCAGGGGGCACTTAACACTATCCACCACTATGAGCGTTTGTATGTTTCCAACAAACTTCACGTTAACATTGACTAGTCCTATAATCTTGATAGCGCTGCCGTCGTACTCTGTCAGACTCATATCAGTCTTGTATGTCGTAGCTATGCCTACAGTTTTAGCTGTGTGCCTCGGTAACGTATACCTGGTGCCGGTGTCCACTTATATCAAAGTGGGTATATTGTTGATGCTCACTTTGATACTGTATGCATTTTATCTGGCGTCATTGACCCCCAGATTTTTTACCTCCAGACTCTGAAGGTTGTACTCTTTGACATTGGTGTTTGTGTCATTCTCATCGTCGATTTCTTCGATTTTCATAGTATTGTTGGTGTTCGATTGAAAAGGACGTTTATAATCATTAGATCTGTTATAGGTATAGTTGTCATTGTTGTAATGGTTGAGCCTTGGCGAATATTTCGGGGTAAAAAATTGTTTTTTTGAGCGTTATATCTTAGTTAACCACGATGTGGATAGTTGTTTCGATTATCGCTTCTATAGTAATCATCGCTTTGACGATGGTCATAACGACAGTCGTTGCGGTTGTCATAGTAGTTATTCCCGCGATTGTTGTAGTGGCGATTGTCAACACGGTTGCGGTTATCATGACGATTATCGTAGCGTTGATCGAAACTGATGTCGTAGCGGTTGCCGTGACGAATATTGTAGCGTTCTTGGTACTGTTTGTCACGGCAGTTGTCGTGTATATAGTAGAATTCATCGAAACGATTGTCACGGCAATTGTCGTAGCCTCCTTCGAAACGTTGTTCTTGGCGGTTGTCATACATGATCTGAGGTTTCTTGGTAAAAGTATCATATTTTACAAGAGACTTACGATGTGCATTAGAGTCCTGTTTGGGTTTCGCGGTCTCATAGCTACTCTTAGATCTGCCCATTAAATTAATCTCTTCTTGTATTCCAGATGATTCACCCGAATGTATAGTTTCTACTTTCACCATGCTCTTGATATCATTTGGCTCCCTGATATCTTCCTCTAGACCTAGATTCTAAATGCATTCTAGTCATAGAATTCCTAACCGCTCTCCTGATCTCTTTGGAAATCGTAGTCACTCTTATTCTCAATTATCTATGGGGGGAGGGAATAATAAAAATAAAATTTATTTTTTTTAGCATTTTAGAGTAACGCTTCACTTTTTGAATATCGAGTAATACATTCCTTTTCTTTACAAGATAATGAATGACGGTAAAGCGTTCTTTTTTCAAACGTACCGAGTATCGCAATAATATTTTTGAGCTAGGCCAAAAACTCCTTTTAGGATGTCTAAAAGACGACTTCTAATAGACATACAGATAGGCCAAGTCAATTTTAGAGAGGCTTCAAATTACAGGGAATTTCTGTTATACTTCTGCTGGCCTATTGTAAATTACGGTTTTTTATTAAAAAACTGACCCTCCCCCAATCCTAAGCATTTTACTGTCAAGGGGCGAGTATAATTAGTTAATGTGGATTAGATTAATATTCAATATAATATAATTAGGCAAAGTTGTTAAGATTATCAGATCAGATATATTGATTATATGAGGGAGGGATTTAATTTTTTATTTCTTTTATATTAATTTTA